CCGTAGGCATAAGTATTCAGAAAGGGAGAGTCCATCTCCTGCAATAAGTTTTATTTACTAATGACCTAACGAAATGATCTTGCATCTTATATCCCCTTGTCTTGAATGTGCTACTGTAGAATGTTGTAGCAGTCAAACTTGAAGATTTAGTGTGATCGTAACCAATGTTCAGATGTGATCAGCAATTTTCTCTGCTTGTTTACATCAGGACACACAGGAAATAAGATATGTGTTCCTGCCTTGTGCATGCACAGTTGCGCTTCCTGACAGGGATAGGATTTACCTCACAACTATATAGACAGATTGGCAGTGAAGAGGATGTCTGTTGAAAATTTAAATAAATTTATAGTGTGATTGACAGCCCAAACAGGAATTTATGTCAATGATGTAATAGAGGTATGGTATTCAAAGGAATTTTATGGAGTTGGCAACGTTGTCATGTGACCTTGGTCAGCAAGCCACAGAAGTGTGGTTGTAGTTATGTAGTTAATAATACCAGCATCTGAAATCTCAAACACACAGACCAGTACTGCACACCATCAGTTTATTCAAACATCATCTTGCATCAAAGAACAACACAATATATGCACAATAACCTTTTAAAGAAAATAAAGGATAAAACAACATGTTTTTTTTTGTTATATTGCTATGAGAACAAACAATAATCTCACTCACTTCAAGAAATAACAGATTAGAAAGTACAAGATGGACAAGAAAACCAAACTCAGACCATTGACATTATCTAACAAGCTAGCTTGAAGACAACTAAGATTGTATTAAGACTGTAATGATAGGCTGTTGGTTATCTAATGAAAAATCAGATCTTGTAATTTTCATACAGTAATGTGTGTAAAATACATTCCTGCATTAACATGATATGTAGACATGGCGATATGTACCAGAGAAACAGCTCTCTGACAACAGGAGAATCTACACAAATAGTAATCCTCATCACCAAACACATTTTCAAAAATCATATTTTGCAAATGAACTGAGGATTCATATCAATATATAATCTACTATCAGAACAACTGAAGATTACTTCAATGCAACCATCTGGAAGCTGTAATGTTGACAGTCTTGGTCCAGCACCAAGTCTCCCATACATGATGGCTAGTTATTTATACTAAACACACCAGACAATGAAAAAATAAACTATGAAATACAAAAGAACAGAAACACATGAAAAAAATAACATGTTTATGTGTATATTTTTTGCCAAGAATTGTTCATTTACTTGCAATTTTCAAATGTATTAATTCTGGTAAAAATACTTGCATGAGTAGAAAACTATATACCTCGTATTTTAATACAAAATGGCAATTTCCCAAATACAAGATCTACATTGGCATGCTTTAATGATGGAACAAACAATGACCCACCAATAGTCCCCAATGTACTGGTATACCGACTGCTATTCTATCCTAGGCATCACCTTGGCCCATCAGCGCGACCACAGAAATCAGTTGTATACTTTTAGGGATCACTTCTTCAGTATGCGTCGCCATGACTACAGTGAATCTGACAGCATGTGTACCAGGCATGACCTTGCCCCATCAACTGAACGATGAGTTTCCTACTGCTATGTTTTTTTCACACCTGGCAATAACAGACTTTGGGGTCAAATTGAAAAGTTGGTAGCAATTCATATTTTTGTTCTACATGCACAAATGTTATACCAAAGACGTATATAGAATATATATGTATATACGTCCGTGGTTATACAAAAAAAAATAAAGTAACTTTTCATTGATGTAGCTACAGTATATGCATTGTCCTAGAATGCATATTAGAAAGTGTTTGTAAAAAAATGGTGAATAAGGCTTCAAGTTTAAATTTTCATTATCTTCATGAATTTCTCAGCTATGGGGATTTCTTAGTTCAAGAGTACTATTGCAAATATAATTTTGGGTGATGTCAATCTGTGGGGCAGTGAACTGACTTGAAGAAACATGTTTTGAGTTCAGCTGCAGTAAAACGAACCTGTACCTTATGCACTAACCAATACCCGACTCATCTTGAACATCCTGGGAACATCTATATGAGTCCTGCATTCACCTGGCTCAACAGCCAGGAAGGTTTTCTTGTCTTTGTTACCACTTGGTTCTCCCAGGATATGCACACGTGCTGGCTACCAAGTAAGGAGGACTGTGTTCAAAGGGGCATAACTCCGTAAGTTCCATTACATGTGTGTATACATCAATCAGGATTAATTGTTATGTAGCAAATGCAAGAAAAAAAGCATGGCTGCACAGTTATCTCAAAAGAGAATATTTGCAAAGAGAAAATATTTTGCATTTTGTTTTCAAAATAAAGTGAGATTTGAACAGGGGCACTGATACAGGTGAAAATATATTTTCAGTAATACTAGTAATCACTGAGCATATTTGTTTTGCTTCATACTGATTAGCTAGTGTGTAGCAATTGATCCACTGTTCCAGGCCAACAGCAACATGACAAAGCATATTAATGCACAGTCGCAAACAACTGAAGATGATGTCAGCCATTGTTCATGACCTCACAGAAAGTTTTAAGTGATGTTGTTTCAACATGAGCTATAGAAAATCATGGATAATCCTAGTGAATTATGTTGAAATTCCTCGATAAGAACTTACAAAATGAATTCACTTGGGACAGATAATCCATAGGGGTTTATAGCTCAGAGATGTGGAAATAAAGTACAATGTGTCCATGCATAAAGGTCATTGTCAGCCTCAACATCAATATAAAGCTAAATAAAATAACATATCTTATTGCACATACCACTTATTTACATATCAAATTTCAAAAATATCTTGGAAGTAACTTAGTATTTAACCCTAAAATGTATATTGTACACATTAATTACAACAAATATAACAATTCCTCTAAGTTATACATACACATCACTGATGGACATTTGCAACTGTGGGCATTGTGTTGCACTCACTAGAACATGTTGGAGGAACTAGGACCATCTAGCCAGTGAGGTCTCACATACACCATGGCTGACAAAGGTAAATCTCCATGTCAATACAAGGCAAGGTGCTGTATGCAGGGAGACTTGAGAAGTAATGGCAATCCTGTAGCAAAGTCGGGTTCCTAAATTATTTCTACAACATTATACGATCATACTAAGTCCATCATTGAGTTGTACATAATTCATCCTCTAAATATCCAGGTAACATGTATCTCATAACTATTACACAACAGATAAAACTCATTAAAATCACCTCCATTTCTAAACCATTCCCTAAGAAATTCCTATTTCCAAGTCAAAGCTGCAACATGGCACATGCACAAGAAGATAACAATAGTTTCATGTATGTAACATTGTTCATGTATGTAACATTGCTTCATGTATGTAACATTGTTTCATGTATATAACATTGCTTCATGTATGTAACATTGCTTCATATATCAACATTGTTTCATGTATGTAACATTGTTTCATGAATGTAACATTGTTTCATATATGTACCATTGTTTCATGTATTAACATTGTTTCATGAATGAAACATTGTTTCATATATGTACCATTGTTTCATGTATTAACATTGTTTCATATATGTACCATTGTTTCATTTTTGTAACATTGTTTCATGTAACATTGTTCATGTTTGTAACATTGTCATTTATTTATCATAATCCTGCTTCTGTAAGATTGTGTCATTATGTAACATTATGCTGTTGATGAAACATTGTGTCATTACACATCATTGTCATGCATGGACATTGTCAACATTGTGATATGATTGTTAACTCAGGCAGTGCGAAAGAATACCAGCACCCATTAGCCTTCTTAACGCTACGATAATCGGAAGCCTATGCTACAGTATGATCATGTTAGAGTTACAATCATATTAGCACAAAGATCTTCTTTGTAGAATGGGGCCCAGGTCCTATTGAAGCATATGCTTAAATGTCACCATCAGCTGTATCACAATGGAATTTCCCTCTTGCACATGGCACCGATAAGTATAGGATAGAGCTGTTGACAATTACATGCAGCTTTCCACTTGCAAAACATCTTATTGTATGAACAGTCTGGCAAGCAGACAAACATATTCAAAAGATGCACTAATAACTTGGTGCATATACTTAAGGAACAAGTTGCCTAATTAAGTTAACAATTGACAATACTTTACTGGTAGGTATTAACCATCTGCTTGGTATGTTGAACATAATCCAAGGTGAGTGGGTGAGTGTGGGCTACAAGGTAAGTGGGTAAGTGTCGGCCACAAGGTGAGTGTGGGATACAAGGTAAGTGGGTAAGTGTCGGCCACAAGGTGAGTGTGGGATACAAGGTAAGTGGGTGAGTGTCGGCCACAAGGTGAGTGTGGGATACAAGGTAAGTGGGTGAGTGTCGGCTACAAGGTAAATGGGTGAGTGTGGGCCGCAAGGTGAGTGGATGAGTGTGGGATACAAGGTAAGTGGGTGAGTGTCGGCTACAAGGTAAATGGGTGAGTGTGGGCCGCAAGGTAAGTGGGTGAGTGTGGGCCGCAAGGTGAGTGGATGAGTGTGGGCTACAAGGTAAGTGGGTGAGTGTCGGCTACAAGGTAAATGGGTGAGTGTGGGCCGCAAGGTAAGTAGGTGAGTGTGGGCTACAAGGTGAGTGGGTTAGTGTGGGCTACAAGGTGAGAGGGTGAGTGTGGGCCACAAGGTGAGTGGGTGAGTGTGGGCCACAAGGTGAGAGGGTGAGTGTGGGCTACAAGGTGAGTGGGTAAGTGTGGGCCACAAAGTGAGAGGGTGAGTGTGGGCCACAAGGTGAGTGGGTGAGTGTGGGCCACAAGGTGAGAGGGTGAGTGTGGGCTACAAGGTGAGTGGGTAAGTGTGGGCCACAAAGTGAGAGGGTGAGTGTGGGCCACAAGGTGAGTGGGTGAGTGTGGGCCACAAGGTGAGAGGGTGAGTGTGGGCTACAAGGTGAGAGGGTGAGTGTGGGCTACAAGGTGAGAGGGTGAGTGTGGGCTACAAGGTGAGTGGGTGAGTGTGGGCCACAAGGTGAGTGGGTGAGTGTGGGCCACAAGGTGAGAGGGTGAGTGTGGGCTACAAGGTGAGAGGGTGAGTGTGGGCCACAAGGTGAGTGGGTGAGTGTGGGCCACAAGGTGAGAGGGTGAGTGTGGGCTACAAGGTGAGAGGGTGAGTGTGGGCTACAAGGTGAGAGGGTTAGTGTGGGCTACAAGGTGAGAGGGTGAGTGTGGGCTACAAGGTGAGAGGGTGAGTGTGGGCTACAAGGTGAGAGGGTGAGTGTGGGCCACAAGGTGAGTGGGTGAGTGTGGGCTACAAGGTGAGAGGGTGAGTGTGGGCCACAAGGTGAGAGAGGCCATGGTGGGAAGGGTGTCACACAACACAACTACAGGGCAAAGAGTTAGGGAAGAGTATTCAATTGGCAATCCTGGGACATAGGTCTGGGGCCCTTTATTTGTTTTCACATGTACAAGCAAAAAATGCTCTTGTTTTTCATATTATGATGTCAAACAGTACCCGATTTGGTAGAAGACTTGACTTGACAAACATAGGATTGACTTGACATGGGATTTTTTTTATTCTTTTCATGAAAATCTCATAATATTCATGTAATTGATTATTTCTTACAACAATTTTTTTATCCACACTGTTTCCTAAAGGAGACAAAATAAAATGATGATATAAATGCACTAACCTTTAAACAGATCATGTTATCTATTAATAAATTAAATTAATAAAATGCAGTGACAATATATATGCACAAAACATTAAACAGAACATGTTATATATTAATACTTCAAATTAATAAAATAAAACACCCAACTTTCTTAATGATCTTCATTGGCTCTCAAGTCCTGCTGATGTTAAAAAGATCTATTCTGTTTTATGCTGACACACCTCTTCACTTAGGTGCACTTACTTCAGAACTCACATCCTGAAACATAACATCACCAAATACAGGCTAGGAGGACATCTACTTCACATAGGACTGTACAGGGAAGCAGCATTACAACATTTCCTAGTTTAAGGGGATCATTTTTCATCTATGTGTATTGGTTACTACTGATCCAAATTGAGCAAAAAATGAGCACTGACTGAACAATAATGGCAAACACACACTCACACTCCATCCAGACTTACTGTCTTCTCTCTACCCTTGGCCTCCACTGACTGAACAGTGATGGCAAACACACACTCACACTCCATCCAGACTTACCGTCATCTCTCTACCCTTGGCCTCCACTGACTGATCAGTGATGGCAAACACACATTCACACTCCATCTAGACTTACCATCATCTCTCTACCCTTGGCCTCCACTGACTGAACAGTGATGGCAAACACACACTCACACTCCATCCAGACTTACTGTCATCTCTCTACCCTTGGCCTCCACTGACTGAACAGTGATGACAAACATATTAACATTCCATCTAGACTTACCATCATCTCTCTACCCTTGGCCTCCACTGACTGAACAGTGATGGCAAACACACACTTACACTTCATCCAGACCTACTGTCATCTCTCTACCCTTGGCCCCCACTGACTGAACAGTGATGGCAAACACACACTAACATTCCATCTAGACCTACCGTCATCCCTCTACCCTTGGCCTCCACTGACTGAACAGTGATGGCAAACACACACTAACATACCATCTAGACTTACTGTCATCTCTCTACCCTTGGCCTCCACTGACTGAACAGTGATGGCAAACACACTAACATTCCAACCAGACTTACCATCATCCCTCTACCCTTGGCCTCCACTGACTGAACAGTGATGGCAAACACACACTTACACTCCATCTAGACTTACCATCATCTCTCTACCCTTGGCTTCCACTGACTGAACAGTGATGGCAAACACACTAACATTCCATCTAGACTTACCGTCATCCCTCTACCCTTGGCCTCCACTGACTGATCAGTGATGGCAAACACTAACATTCCATCTAGACTTACCGTCCTCCCTCTACCCTTGGCCTCCACTGACTGAACAGTGATGGCAAACACACTAACATTCCATCTAGACCTACCGTCATCCCTCTACCCTTGGCCTCCACTGACTGAACAGTGATGGCAAACACACACTAACATACCATCTAGACTTACTGTCATCTCTCTACCCTTGGCCTCCACTGACTGAACAGTGATGGCAAACACACTAACATTCCATCCAGACTTACCATCATCCCTCTACCCTTGGCCTCCACTGACTGAACAGTGATGGCAAACACACACTCACACTCCATCCAGACTTACTGTCATCTCTCTACCCTTGGCCTCCACTGACTGAACAGTGATGGCAAACACACACTCACACTCCATCCAGACTTACTGTCATCTCTCTACCCTCGGCCTCCACTGACTGAACAGTGATGGCAAACACACTAACATTCCATCTAGACTTACCAACATCCCTCTACCCTTGGCCTCTACTGACTGAACAGTGATGGCAAACACACTAACATTCCATCTAGACTTACTGTCATCCCTCTACCCTTGGCCTCTACTGACTGAACAGTGATGGCAAACACACACTTACACTTCATCCAGACCTACTGTCATCTCTCTACCCTTGGCCCCCACTGACTGAACAGTGATGGCAAACACACACTAACATACCATCTAGACTTACTGTCATCTCTCTACCCTTGGCCTCCACTGACTGAACAGTGATGGCAAACACACACTAACATACCATCTAGACTTACTGTCATCTCTCTACCCTTGGCCCCCACTGACTGAACAGTGATGGCAAACACACACTCACACTCCATCTAGACTTACCGTCCTCCCTCTACCCTTGGCCTCCACTGACTGAACAGTGATGGCAAACACACACTAACATTCCATCTAGACTTAACGTCATCTCTCTACCCTTGGCCTCCACTGACTGAACAGTGATGGCAAACACACATTCACACTCCATCTAGACTTACTGTCATCTCTCTACCCTTGGCCTCCACTGACTGAACAGTGATGGCAAACACACACTCACATACCATCTAGACTTACTGTCATCTCTCTACCCTTGGCCACTAACTGAACAGTGATGGCAAACACATTAACACTCAATCTAGACTTACCGTCATCTCTCTACCCTTGGTCTCTATAGGCAGCAAAATGGAGGCAATGGTAGCCAGCAGACACATTCCTCCATATATAGAGATTGTAGCATAAGCAGAATGCTTAAGTAAAACCTGTAAAGGATATTACATATTTCATGATTATTTCATTCACCTTTATTCAGTGACATGGAAAGATGCTGTTTTGGTATTCACCATGCATTGCTGACAATATGCAGCATGGTAACTGACCTGAATTCCTTAATTCAGGCTGCAGTTTGAACACTGCTACTCACACGTCAGTTCAGAATGTTCAGGCCAGTAGAAAAGATAACTGCATATGTAATATACAGTCAAAAGTAGAGGATATCCAAATTCCAATCATTACATGATTACAACTAACATATAAAATGTTGGCAATATTATTATAATACAAACATAAAAGTGACAAAACAGATCTATATGAATGCACATGTAACCTGTAAGACAATGATTTAACTTTCCTACTGAATAAACATGTTCTGGGAGACGCTTAACTAGATGTTTTCCATCGCCATAATTATCAAACTCAGCTGATATCCAATCAAATGTTTTATCCTATGCATATAGTTTGCTACATCCATACTAAGTTTTGGTGCTGAAGATACAAATAACTGGAAAAAAGTTCTTCATCCTGAAAAATCATATGATGTAGATTTTACCATCTCAGCAATTAGGGTTTTGCTAAATGGTGGAACATATATTTTATCAAAAGTGTTGCTTTTCAAACCAAATTTAAGTTCACGTTGTGACTGTTTGAATCACTTTACTTAAAAAAAATCAGCCACATAAAAAACATAAAAAAACTAATAACAAACCTGTACTTCATTATCGTATTTCTGCAATAGTCAAGATGCCCCAAAATTAGAGAACCATGAGGAATTACGGATTTCCTGTCCCACGTTAATAAAGTTTATAAGTTCTAAGCCTGATGGCAATTGACTACAGTCATTTTTCCGAGAAAATGTATGAAAATGTGAGTTTCCTTAACTGAACTTGTATCAACTTCAGCGTAAAGTCCCATGGTATATACGATAGAGGTTCAACTGCTCTGGTGCTGCAATTCTCTGTCCAGACCACAACCTTTAGGTTCCACCATTCCTTGTTCCTCGTCTGTGTTGATCGTTGTATGGCTGCCTCTATTTGTTGCTGTTTTGCCCCGTGTTGGTGCCTTCTCTCGAGGCTTCTCAGGTTGCTGTGGTCATCTCTGTTCCCTGTGCTGGTGCCTTCTCTTGAGGCTTCTCAGGGCGCTGGGGTTGTCTCTGTTTCCTGTGTTGGTGCCTTCTCTCGAGGCTTCTCAGGTCGCTGTGGTCGTCTCTGTTCCCTGTGCTGGTGCCTTCTCTTGAGGCTTTTCAAGGCGCTGTGGTCATCTATGTTCCCTGTGTTGGTGCCTTTTCTTGAGGCTTCTTAGGTCGCTGTGGTCGTCTCTGTTCCCTGTGATGGTGCCTTTTCTTGAGGCTTCTCAGGTTGCTGTGGTCATCTATGTTCCCTGTGTTGGTGCCGTTTCTCGAGGCTTCTGTGGTTGTCTCTGTTCCCTGTGTTGGTGCCTTCTCTAGAGGCTTCTCAGGTTGCTCCAACAAACTGATGAGATGCTGGTCCTACCATCTCACAAGATGTACTGAATGCTGGTCCTACCATCTCACAGGATGTACTGAATGCTGGTCCTACCATCTCACAAGATGTACTGAATGCTGGTCCTATCACCTCACAAGATGTACTGAATGCTGGGTCTACCACATCACAAGATGTACTTCATGCTGGTCCTACCACCTCACAAGATGTTTTGTATGCTGCTTCTTCCACTTCACAAGATGTCTTGAATGCTGCTTCTACCACCTCACAAGATGTACTGAATGCTGGTCCTACCACCTCACAAGATGTACTGAATGCTGGTCCTACCACATCACAAGATGTACTGAATGCTGATCCTGCCACATCAAAAGATGTACTGATGCTGGTCCTACCACCTCACAAGATGTACTGAATGCTGGTCCTACTACTTCACAAGATGTACTGAATGCTAGTCCTAGCATCTCACAAGATGTACTGAATGCTGCTTCTACCACCTCACAAGATGTACTGAATGCTGGTCCTACCACATCACAAGATGTACTGAATGCTGATCCTGCCACATCAAAAGATGTACTGATGCTGGTCCTACCACCTCACAAGATGTACTGAATGCTGGTCCTACTACTTCACAAGATGTACTGAATGCTAGTCCTACCACCTCACAAGATGTTCTGAATGCTGGTCCTACCACCTCACAAGTTGTACTGAATACTGCTTCTACCACCTCACAAGATGTACTGAATGCTTGTCCTGCCACATCAAAAGATGTACTGATGCTGGTCCTACCACCTCACAAGATGTACTGAATGCTGGTCCTACCACTTCACAAGATGTACTGAATGCTAGTCCTACCACCTCACAAGATGTTCTGAATGCTGGTCCTACCACCTCACAAGTTGTACTGAATACTGCTTCTACCACCTCACAAGATGTACTGAATGCTAGTCCTACCACCTCACAAGATGTACTGAATGCTGGTCCTACCACTTCACAAGATGTACTGAATGCTGCTTCTACCACCTCACAAGACGTACTGAATGCTGGTCCTAGCATCTCACAAGATGTACTGAATGCTGCTTCTACCACCTCACAAGATGTACTGAATGCTGGTTCTACCACATCACAAGATGTACTGACTGCTGGTCCTAACACCTCACAAGATGTACTGAATGCTGCTTCTACCACCTCACAAGATGTACTGAATGCTGGTCCTACCACCTCACAAGATGTACTGAATGCTGGTCCTACCACTTCACAAGATGTACTGAATGCTAGTCCTACCACCTCACAAGATGTACTGAATGCTGGTCCTACCACTTCACAAGATGTACTGAATGCTGCTTCTACCACCTCACAAGACGTACTGAATGCTGGTTCTACCACATCACAAGATGTACTGACTGCTGGTCCTAACACCTCACAAGATGTACTGAATGCTGCTTCTACCACCTCACAAGATGTACTGAATGCTGGTCCTACCACATCACAAGATGTACTGAATGCTGATCCTGCCACATCAAAAGATGTACTGATGCTGGTCCTACCTCCTCACAAGATGTACTGAATGCTGGTCCTACCACTTCACAAGATGTACTGAATGCTAGTCCTACCACCTCACAAGATGTTCTGAATGCTGGTCCTACCACCTCACAAGATGTACTGAATGCTGCTTCTACCACATCACAAGACGTACTGAATGCTGGTCCTATCATCTCACAAGATGTTCTGAATGCTGCTTCTACCACCTCACAAGATGTACTGAATGCTGCTTCTACCACCTCACAAGATGTTCTGATGCTGGTCCTATCACCTCACAAGATGTACTGAATGCTGGTCCTACCACTTCACAAGATGTACTGAATGCTAGTCCTACCACCTCACAAGATGTTCTGAATGCTGGTCCTACTACTTCACAAGATGTACTGAATGCTAGTCCTACCACCTCACAAGATGTTCTGAATGCTGGTCCTACCACCTCACAAGATGTACTGAATGCTGGTCCTATCATCTCACAAGATGTACTGAATGCTGCTTCTACCACCTCAAACGATCTACTGAATGCTGCTTCTACCATCTCACAAGATGTACTGAATGCTGGTCCTACCACCTCAAAAGATCTACTGAATGCTGCTTCTACCATCTTACAAGATGTACTGAATGCTGGTCCTACCACATCACAAGATGTACTGAATGCTGCTTCTACCACCTCACAAGATGTACTGAATGCTGGTCGTACCACATCACAAGATGTACTGAATGCTGGTCCTACCACCTCACAAGATGTACTGAATGCTGCTTCTACAACCTCACAAGATCTACTGAATGCTGCTTCTACCATCTCACAAGATGTCTTGAATGCTGGTCCTACCACCTCACAAGATGTACTGAATCCTGGTCCTACCACCCAACAAGATGTACTGAATGCTGGTCCTACCACTTCACAAGATGTACTGAATGCTGGTCCTACCACTTCACAAGATGTACTGAATGCTGCTCCTACCACTTCACAAGATGTACTGAATGCTGCTTCTACCACATCACAAGATGTACTGAATGCTGCTTCTACCACCCCACAAGATGTACTGAATGCTGCTTCTACCATCTCACAAGATGTCTTGAATGCTGGTCCTACCACCTCACAAGATGTACTGAATCCTGGTCCTACCACCCAACAAGATGTACTGAATGCTGGTCCTACCACCTCACAAGATGTCTTGAATGCTGGTCCTACCACCTCACACGATGTATTGAATGCTGGTTCTACCACCCAACAAGATGTACTGAATGCTGGTCCTACCACCTCACAAGATGTCTTGAATGCTGGTCCTACCACCTCACAAGATGTACTGAATCCTGGTCCTACCACTTCACAAGATGTACTGAATGCTGCTCCTACCACTTCACAAGAAGTACTGAATGCTGGTTCTAACATCTCACAAGAAGTACTGAATGCTGCTTCTACCACTTCACATGATGTCTTGAATGCTGGTACTACCACTTCACAAGATGTCTTGAATGCTGGTCCTACCATCATTACAAGATGTACTGAATGCTGGTTCTAACATCTCACAAGATGTACTGAATGATTCTTCTATCATCTCACAAGATGTACTGAATGCTGGTCCTACCACTTCACAAGATGTACTGAATGCTGGTCCTACCACTTTACAAGAAGTACTGAATACTGGTCCCACCACTTCACAAGATGTAATGAATACTTGTCCCACCACTTCACAAGATATACTGAATGCTGGTCCTACCACTTCACAAGAAGTACTGAATGTTGCTCCTACCATCTCACAAGATGTACTGAATGCTGGTTCTACCATCTCACAAGATGTACTGAATGCTTCTTCTACTATCTCACAAAATGTACTGAATGATTCTTCTATCATCTCACAAGATGTACTGAATGCTGGTCCTACCACTTCACAAGATGTACTGAATGCTGGTCCTACCACTTTACAAGAAGTACTGAATACTGGTCCCACCACTTCACAAGATGTAATGAATACTTGTCCCACCACTTCACAAGATATACTGAATGCTGGTCCTACCACTTCACAAGAAGTACTGAATGTTGCTCCTACCATCTCACAAGATGTACTGTATGATGGTCCTACCACCTCACACGATGTATTGAATGCTGGTTCTACCACCTCACAAGATGTCTTGAATGCTGGTCCTACCGCCTCACAAGATGTACTGAATGATAGTCCACCACATCACAAGATCTACTGAATGCTTGTCCTATCATCTCACAAGAAGTACTGAATGCTGGTTCTACCATCTCACAAGATGTACTGAATGCTGGTTGTACCATCTCACAAGATGTACTGAATGCTGGTTCTACCATCTCACAAGATGTACTGAATGCTGGTTCTACCACCTCACAAGATGTACTGAATGCTTCTTCTACCATCTCACAAGATGTACTAAATGCTTCTTCTACCATCTCACAAGATGTACTGAATGCTGGTCCTGCCACATCACAAGTTCTAGGGTTTAGCTAAGGCTCAGATGGCCTCTGATAAGATGAACTAACAATAATGGCACCATAATTTAAAATTTGTTAAGTATGAATACAAACTGTCAGTGGTTGAGGCTGAATGTGAGACTGTGCCTACCTGTGCTATGAAGGGTGTTACTATAGCACCTACTCGGGCCATGCCACTACAGGAACCTATTCCCACGGCTCTCATAGATGTAGGGTACACCTGAAACAAACATGCATTTCCTTAGGCCTGGCATGGAAGAATTTTCACTCTTCAAAACTAGAAAAGCGCTTCATTAAATACAATAGCAAAAACAGATGCATTACTTATGTGAAAACCTTACTCCCAGTGTAGATATGAGGGCTGGTGACAGCCCAGTTAATATGCCAGAAAGCCCTCAAACACCTCCATCTATGGGGCTGCAAACAATAGGGCATCTGCAGAACTACTAAGGCATTGCAAAATCTGCACATAGCATACTATAGCAATAACAACAGAGAAGGATTATAAATTCCTTGAGAAGACAGCTGCCAGTATTAATATGCTTCCATAAATGCCTCAATGCCTAGATATTGAGATAACAGAATCATTAAAGTTCATTCAATTGGTGCATAATTTAGCTTATCATATTTACACTGTTCCTAATAACATCAATACATATCATTGTAGCAGATAAGGTATTATCATCAGTCCATTTCATTTGTGTTAGAGTCACTTCAAGTTCTACTCACTGAATCACTTGACACCTGACCTCACACTTAATGCATTAACTTAAAAAAAGTAACTGTCCAAAACAGGCCAAACTCTAAATCAATAAAAAATGAAAAACACATTGGTTCAAGCATTAATTTTATCTTAATTTACATAGTGTGTGAAACATTTAGTCATGATACGGCCTTACTGTCTGGTGCACATACTGCAAATAGGAAGTCAACAAAGATTGCTTAATTGTAGATTGTTTAATCTATATCTCGGTGCCATCATTATTACCGTAGTTTTAACTGTTTTCAAATGTTTGAGAAGATGCCCATCCTAAGCAATATTTGTTTTCAAAGGTGAATGTATAATTATACATCACGGACTACTCACTCATACAACAGGACATGAAAGACACCTGCCTGATGCCATACTGAATGTGTTCTTTCTATCCCTGGAGGAAACTTGAACTCCTTTATGATCAGGAATACTTATTAGTTACACTTTGGTTCTCATGGCCATTATGGGCGTTATAATCCTGGTGTGTTTCTGTATCTATATATCATATCTCAGCTCTTTTAACACCAGTCAACCAGAAGCTTTTACTGCTGTGACACCAAGCTCCCAGAGACACTGGGGTGATAGATGAGGCCTACATTTATCTTTGCTACAACATGTTATACACAATTTGAAAGGTCTTATCCTACTATTTATGAATCTGAAAGTTATGTTTATCACATTATTTAAATAATGCATTTACAACTTAATTAAGTTTGTTTTTAAAAGAATCCGTAAGCTAACACATTCATAACATTCTGATTTAGCGCTAACGAAGTGAAAATTGAGGTGATTTTCAGCAAATGTAAGATTTCATAACATCCACTCACCTATTTCTTTTTTATTTTCACTGTTTAGGTAATTGGAAAATTATTTTAAAGAGAATTTTAAATATTATCTGTCATCACCCATTTCCCAATAAATATGGCTGTCCGCTCAGTAACATGAGAAAATACTGTGAAATACCTCCATTTTCGAAGCTTTGTATGAATAACACATGCAACGAATTGTTTGATGTTTGATATCGTTATCAAGCTCTGAACATGAATAATTTTACAGTAACCTCCCCTAAGTTCTAACATGCGATTTTATTGGATAGAAATTGGTTTCTAAAGACATAATGTTTGATGTAATCTGCCACTAGTTCCCTTGTGATTAGTCAAATTAAAGCACATGACCTAAGGCACCCAATCAAATTACATCAATGGATATTGTCCTTGTGTATGATAAATTTCAGATTAAGATAAATGGTTTTGGTTAAATCGTGTTATTCTGAACATTTTAAGCAGGGAATCACTACCTATATTAAACATATGGCACTTCATGGACATACATAATGACCAGTGACAAAGATTTTTCATGCATATATGGAGTGATTGATATCAAGAGCATCGATCCACACAATTTGGATACTCCCGCAAGATCATAGCACGCATACTAGACATTGTTCCATACACTGTACCCTCATACCACAAGAGGGAGTGAGTAGGGTTTTACAATGATGTCAGCAATATTCCCGCACGATCATAGCACGCATACTAGACATTGTTCCATACACTGTACCGACATACCACCAGAGGGAGTGAGTAGGGTTTTACAATGATGTCAGCAATATTCCAGTAAGATCATAGCGCGCATACTAGACATTGTTCCATACACTGTACCAACATACCATCAGTAGATTTTAATTCATTTTCATGTTCTTGTTCTAAACATCATAAAAACTAAGTGAAAGTGTTTAATCAAACTTATTAACTGACTTTCGCACTTTATAATACAACACATGGTGGCAACACATTTTTTGTAAACGAAGAATGGTAGCCGGACTTTAATACCTGTGCTGTATGCACTGGTCGAGAGTTCTGTTGTTTGTCCCTATACAGATTTCCTCGGCATCAGTGCCTTATCACTTTCATACGTGCTACACAAGTCTTTTGTGACAACAACATGCTCTCAGTTATTGCCTTCAAAAACGAAAAAGGCAATGTGTAAAAAGGCAATGTGTATCTGTTTCAATAATTGAGATGCTATTGCACATTTCAATTTATGAAAAGTAAGAGAAACATCAACATACTGTCAATAATAATTTCTGAAAAGTATGAATTTAAAATATTTTTCAACTGTTCATAAGGCCCGACTGGCAAAAGTGGCAGCAAAATGTCTTTCAATGTTTAAGGATTCAAACTCAAGAACAGGAAAATATTTGAAGAACAGTTAATGATAACATAAAATCCATGGGATGTATATATGTATAGTCCCTTGCATGTTACACATAAAATATGTACCATTACATCCCCAATTATTTACAGACGTTTACAAGAGTTTACAATACAGCCCTTAATTACTTAAAAAGGGTTAACAGCTGTAAGATGTACAGGAAGCAGTTCCCCAATGTGTTGACACCTCACCTCTGGGGTATAGACATAAGCTGCCTGAAAGGCTCCAGCAATGAAGGCGCGGGACACAAACAGGAATACTGTCAGCAATGCCCTGTGGAAGAGGAGAGACATAGTGAAACAACAGGCCGGTAACAAACTATATGGATGTTGATGTACCCCTGAAGAGGATCTGAGGTAGCCCTGATTCTGTGAAACTGATAATACCATCATTATGAAGATATGTGCTTACATTACACGTGCAGCCCCTCTAGAGCAGTCAGATGGAGTATACCCTGGTGTCACTAACATTAATTGCGGCGCCCTCTAGAGCAGTCAGATGGAGTATACCCTGGTGTCACTAACATTACTTGCAGCGCTCTAGAGCAGTCAGATGGAGTATACCCTGGTGTCACTAACATTACTTGCAGCGCTCTAGAGCAGTCAGATGGAGTATACCCTGGTGTCACTAACATTACTTGTGGCACCCTCTAGAGCAGTCAGATGGAGTATACCCTGGTGTCACTAACATTAATTGCGGCGCCCTCTAGAGCAGTCAGATGGAGTATACCCTGGTGTCACTAACATTACTTGCGGCGCCCTCTAGAGCAGTCAGATGGAGTATACCCTGGTGTCACTAACATTACTTGCAGCGCTCTAGAGCAGTCAGATGGAGTATACCCTGGTGTCACTAACATTACTTGTGGCACCCTCTAGAGCAGTCAGATGGAGTATACCCTGGTGTCACTAACATTACTTGTGGTACCCTCTAGAGCAGTCAGATGGAGTATACCCTGGTGTCACTAACATTATTTGTGGTGAGCTCTAGAGCAGTCAGATGGAGTATACCCTGGTGTCACTAACACTACTTGTGACGCCCACTAGGGGAGTTAGTCGGAGTACCCTTCTTGTTACAAACCTAGTTGTGCAGATGTTGACCAGGAACACAAATACAGTGAAGATGCTGAACTCCACTGCCATTGTGTATTTCCTGCCTATCTTCTCTATGAAGAATACTGTCACAAATAATCCTGAAAAAAACAAAAAAAACAATATCAAACAAAAATTATCATGGTTTATAATTCGAAGAATACTACCTCTATTACATCAAAGCCATAAATCCCATATTTTGGCCGTAAAAATGCCATAAAATCTCCTGATTTTTCAACAGTTGTTCACATTCCATTGTCAGACATCCCACATGGCATCATCAAATGTGAGAAAACCCTTTGCGAATGTGCGAAGGTGGGAAATGGTCACTTTATTTCAACAATCATACATGCTAGATGCAGATATATTGGGGAGGTGGGGGGAACTACTCCTGAGGTAAAAGAAACAGTATTCTTGAAATTATACACAGTGATAACTATTGTTTTTATAAATAACTTTGAATACCCTACCTCTGTTACAGTACAGCCAGAATACACTAGAGGGAAGGGTTGGATCAGGCATCTTGTATCCAATATATGCTGACAGTCAAGCATTAAATACATAAAGAAACGGAAGGTAACAAGTAAAATCCTAGATATTTGTTATATTTGTATACTTATCCTGCATTACTCCTTAATGCATCTTTAATGCATATTACTGCTTGTTCTTGACAGAGAAAAGAGCTGTGTGAAGGTCTTTGCTTGAGGAGTTGTTCCAACTAGCTGAGAGGCCAACCCTATCACGCAGCTCCCACATGACCAAAGGAAGTGTCATCACGGATCCTCACATTACTCTGGAGTCCGGACAACGGAAGGCATCATTGGGAGGCAGCTCTGCGATGGGTGGGTCCCTTTATACGCAGTAACGCAGGATAAGTATACAAATATAAAAAATATCTAGGATTTTACTAGATTTTTTACTTATCCTGCATTACTCCTTAATGCATCTTTATCGGACGGAATTGGTGGAGGGGATACCTTCAGATGTGGACTTTCATCTTTTATTTCCAGACTCTGTTCCCTAGCCAATCTTTAGGCTGTGTGGTCGGCTCCGGGTGACCATTCCATGTATGGGAACCACCAATTCCCTCAGCCAATTCTTGGCTGTGTGGGCGGTGCCAGGTGACCACTCCATGTATGGGAACCACCAAATCTCTCAGCCCGTCTTCGGCTGTATGGTCAGCCTGGATAACCATTACATGGAAGGGAAGAGTCAGGTATGTGTTGTGTCCTGGTACTGCGCAGCCTGACAATAACCCTCAGTTAGGTCTAGACTGGAGTACCAAGCCGTATGCAGGTTGGGTATAAATTTTCTAGTCCCGGGCATACACCAGGGGAAGGCGATAGGCCGGCTCTGGACTTGGAGGCGAGTTCAGTGACATGTAGTAGTGGTGACCTGTTGGGCACTTCTAACAGACCAAGTTGTGCATGCCTAGCACATCCTCCAATGCGACATCGCGCATATGGTGACTGGTGACGATTGTGTTTGATCGGCAGAACACCCCTCCATGATGGCAAGTAGAGCGCAGTTGCTGTGTGTTGTGGCTGCCTTCTGCTTGCGAGGTCGCAGCGCTATACTGGTATGAAGAGGCGTCGTTTTTGTCTACAGCATTCCTTGGATCGCCTGATGTGGGGACGGAGTGCTCTAACCGGAAGTAGACGGAGCTCCTGTTCATCTTCTGCGCCCACAATCGAAGACAGGGGAGGGATGAGGAACGATCTATCTGGCTGTCATGGAAATTGATTTTTGGCAAAAAAGTCCAAGATGCACGGCTCCGTGTGCTCCATGCTCAAAGCTGAAGTGCGTAACGTCCAAGGCATGTAGCTCACTGACACAGGCTGCTGTAGCTTTTAAGATGCATTAAGGAGTAATACAGGATAAGTAAAAAATAGTCATAATACCTGTTTTTCTTGTGCATTGGTGATATAGACATTACACACAACAACACTCCCAGCTCTCTATGATGATTACTTCTGGCTGGATGACATCACCTGACCTTGTGATAACGTTATTTCTTGTAGTTGTGACATCACTGCTGGTGTATCTAGTTGTCTTGTCCATTTTCTGTGGTGATCTTTATCCAGTTCTCTGACGGACTCTTCAGTCTTGACAACACTTCCAATGCTGTTAAATCCGTAGAACCACAGATCACTTCAAGCCTTATGATGAGAGTCCAACCGTTAACCCATGATCTGTCCTGCCCTGGCCAACAATATGATCATCAAGCTAACTAAAGGTTTACTGATCCTTGACAACCAATCATGTGTGAGAGACAAAAACTCAATGGCATGCAATTCCAACACCCTGGTCGTTGTTGCCATGGCTAGAAGAAAAGCTGTTTTCCTCAAGACTTGAAGGAAAGTAGCTTCAGTCATTGGTTCAAAAGGAACATTTAGTAATGTAGATAGGACTATGGACAGGTTCCATTAAGGAAATATGCTATGGGTCTTGATGTCCTTAAGATGGAAGTATGGAAGGATCTCATGAGTCAATTTAAAACTGGATGTGTGCCTATAGAGAGTCCATCATACTGCAGAACAAAGGCTAAGGCTCATCCATAACCCTTGATAGTACCATGACGAAATTCCTTGGCCCATTTGAAGTCTACCATGGGTGAGAAATTTGGCTACCATGTTTACATTACCTCACTGGCAGAACTTCCTCCATCTTGTAACATATGATCCTGAAGATGAGGTTCTCCATAAAGTGCAGCACTGGTGCAGCTGTAGATTCAGAGCTGACATTTAAGATGAGATAACTTCCAGGCGTGTAGGCGGAGGCACTGGAGGTTGCCATGGAATATGTCGGACCTGGGTTGGTGCAGAGGGTCGTGACGAAGTTTGAGTTTTAGAGATAATTCCATGAATAGTAGGAGGATTCTGGGATACCAAGGTCTGTAGGCCACTCTGGAGCAATCAGAATGAAGGTACCATCTGTCTCCTTGATCTTCTTGATGACCCTGTCTAGTAGAGACCAAGAAGGGAGTGCATTGGTAAATATTTCCTTCCAGGTCATGGATTTTGGAAGTCCCAGGCACGACATCCACCAGATTGCGAGATTGGTATGGAGCGGAGGAGCAACAATGCCTCTGTGGAAAAGAAAGTGTGCTCCTATGTAGACAATGGCCTGTTCATGTACTAGTTCCAACTTGGAGGGAAGTACCGGATATCGCCGTTTATAAAGCGACCCCGCCTATGAAGTGACCCCATTGTAAAGCCTTCAAAATCAATGTTAATTTATGTTCCCTGTCTATAAAGCAAATTGTAATGAATCACATCACCAGCGTATACACAATCCATACATTTGCAATAAAATTGTCGTTGTCTTCCGCAGAAAAAAATAACATATTATCCCTTTGGCGAATTCAGGGAAATAAAGAGGTGATAACAATTGAACTTGGTCAATACAAATTTCAAATTTGAGATAGACATAGTCACTAGACATGATGATTTACCATTTAAATTGTATTTCCTGTTCTGCTTGGCATTGTTTTATATGCAGAGATTAAGACTACCATATGTATGGTCTCATAAACTAAGCGGAGCAGCCATCAGATGTACACACATTTACTCGGAATCTACCTGTGATTCGGTTAAAAATTACCCAATAATATAACTTTATTGAATCTTGATACAATGATCGGAAGAACTGTATCTGAAATTATTATTTTATTAGGAATAATATATTCCAATATCATGTTATTTTAGTTGAAGCTTTACTACATATATTCAAAATAAAAAACTGCTTCCATCCTAATGGGCTGTTTCGTCAAAAATTGTTCCATGTTAAAGCAAAAAGATTGGAGTGAACAGTCCTGAGAAAAGGATCCACTCAATCTTGGACCCTCAATGTGAGGAGACAATCCTGGCAACAAGGAGATTCTGATATTTCATGAGACGCCACCACCTTTCTTCTGGAATCTGAAAAAGTGGTTGAGGCATGATTTCTACCCTCTAAGTTTTGGCCTCTGACCCGGATGAGAAAAGGCCAGACTGCTGTCCCAACTGGCCTAGCAACACTTTATTTTTAGGGTTTCTTCTTCTTATCCTTCTTGCTAGAAGAGCTAGCTTGCGTAATTCTCAGTGATTCACAAATAGGGGAACACAGAGGTGAATGAGCGTCTCAAGGTTCTATCAGTTTGGTAAACTCCAAACCCAATAAGGAAATGCACAAATCACACCTTGAGTCACTAGTTCATAGGGTGTCCCTGCAGGTAACACAAATGTGGGTCCAAAGAATACAATTGCACATTACATGGAACGTAGAAGGCCTTGCATGGGCACCATTCTCACTACACCCAAATACAAAATTAAATCTACTTACGCAAGTTCCTCAAAAAGAAAAAATAACACACTCTTAATAAAAGTTGCATACAAGTAGAAAATACATCCCAGATCGTTTGGACAAAGTCCAAAATTGTGAGTTGAATGTCACAGAGCCTAACTGTCTCCTGTTGATACAACTCACACAAGAAATGAAGTGACGGTTCCCTGCCTTCGCACATGCACAAAGGGTTTGTCTACATTTGTATGATGCATTGTAAGGATGGCTGACAGTGGCTGGTTAACAACTGTTGAAAAATCTATAGATTTTACGGTGTGATTACAGCCAAAATATTGGATTTATGGCTTTGATATAATAAAGGTTTGGTATTGCAAATACACATATGTGTTTATTCTGTCAGGAAAGCTATACTGAACTACAAAAGAAACATCACTCCAAGTAACATTGCATGAAAAGTTGTCATGTAAACATCTGGGTAATTTTGTCAAAGTTAATAAAATTTAACATTACCTTGACCAAAAAAATGAAATTTGATGATAAAAAACAAAGCAGATAACAATAAAACTGATCGCCCAAATGCACCACGTTAACAGCCATAGTAACCCAATGCATGTGAGTTCCGTGCGAATTGAAATGCACATGCATTCCCCCATTTCCTGCCCTATAAAAATCCACCCAGATCGGATAACATTCATTGGTTATTGAATTGCTACCACATGCTTAGATTGACAAGAAATCAGCGACACCAAGCCCTTGGACGATTGCAAGCTGGAACAAACCGCCTGGCAAATAGCCAATGCAAGTCCACGTAATTACA